TAGAAAACAATATCCTTTATCTAAAGAACCTACAATATTTACATATTGTTTGGGAAGCATTAGAATTTATTAATTAAGCTATATTTGTAAGAGTTTTTACTAAAATATTAATTTTAAATCGAACGTTTAATAAATAAAATAAATTTATTTATCTTTTTAAATTATAAAAGATTTAAAAAATATTTTTTCTGTAAAAGATTGAAGTTGCCTTTGGCTTTCTAATATCACCATATCAAAACAAAGTATTTGGGATGACGCAAAATCCACTTAACCTAAGGTATCACTTAAAGGTCAAAGCTAACAATAAAAAATCTGTGCAAATAATATAATTTCACTCATTTTGGCATAGCTTAACGTTCTCTAAAAAAATCATCCCTAGTAATTTCAGTGGCATAAATGCATCAACTCACTAGCATTTTGTAGCTACATGTATAATATTAATTTATGATGATGAACTAAGGTCTATTAAACTATGCTGTATGTTATGTTAATTAGTTTTCAGTATGTGTAAGCATTTCAAAAATTTATTATTTAGTTTACCTCTGGCTTATTCTGTATTTAATTTTCACTGTGTAACTTTTTGTTTCCCTCTTTGCTTTCGTTTTCTTTTTGCCGCTCTTTTTGCGATAGGATCTGCATGTTTTTTTGGCCAACCGGGAAAGGGTTAATAAACTTGTTCAAAATAAACCAAGAAAACCTATCGTGTTGCTGCTGCCGTTAGCAGTTTTGCTTTCTTTACCCGCCACAGACATTCGCTTTAATTGCTTCAAACTTGACCTTAGCACCAGAAAGCCGAAATTAGTAAAGAAACCAAAACTGAATAGTGCTAAAGCAAAAAAAAATTGAAAAACCGCGCAACTCAAATTGGCCATTAACGCGACTTCGACTTGCATCGCATCGAACCTGGCCGAGTGACGCAAAAATATATAAAAAAAAGGTTAAGTATACGCCGAGCGGGCCGAGCGTCGACTGCGCTGCCAGCGTCGACAGCGACGGCGGCGTCAAATGTTGGCCGGTCCGCGAAGCCCGTTCATTTTGTTTATTTATACAGCCGAGCGGGTAGAACTCCATATTAGTGTCTTCTTGGCGTTTGCCGCAGTCGAATCCGAGTTTCGAGTCCCCGTGTCCGAAACTGAATCTTCAGGCTACGGTTGTGCGACAGTGTGTGTGTGCCAGTGTGTGTGTTAGCCAAGTTAGCCGACCCAGGGAAAAAGAACCCAGCCAAAACCCAACAGGTACGGAAGTGATATCAATTTATTGGGGGCAACCCGAAGGTGTGAAAGTGTTGCATAAATTAGAGAGCAGTTCTTGGGCCGATCAGCTCGAAGTGGGCCAAAACTGGATTGGATTGGCCTGGCCAATAGCTAGTAGCTAATTCTGCTGCAACTGCCACTGCCACTGGTCCGTCTGATTTTCTCGTCGACCTTAACCCAATGCATCGTACATAGATTAAACGCTGAAAACTGGCTTGAGGAGCTGCAATTTTGCCAGTCAGCCAAGGCCAAGACTCTGGCTGCAGCATTGAGGCGGCCAAAACTAAACGATTTGAACTTGTAATCGATTGCGATTCAATTGGCAGCTGCATCGGCTGAAAGGCCTTGCCAAGCTGCTAGCAACCCCCTCGCGAAGATGACCACATTTCATGGTTAGGCAAACATTTTAGAAGTCCGAGTTCCCACGAAGAGACAGAGACCACGCAGCATATCCGTTACAGTTTCTAACGAAAACACAGACGCTCCAAAAGTTTGGGACAGGAAAAAATCCAATTAACGCCGCAAATATTTGCCCAGTAATTAAAGGTTGTCAGTCGGCCCAAAAAGTTACCAAACTCTAGCTGGCTGTGCACAGGAAAAAATATTAGTTTTTTAAAATCTATTAATATTTCAAAAGGCCAATTTTGAACAAATAATATCTAAAATATTAATATCAGTAAATTTATTAACAAATCAATTATACATTTTCATAGATTTGTAATTATAACAATTTTTAACAAATTTCTTAACGTAGAAATTATAATATGTTTTTAGATTTTTTATTATTCTAACCAGTATAATATTAAATCATATTTGTATTATACATTTTTAAATGCAGCTGAGCATTTTTATAGAGGAAAAAATGCAAGTCCATCGAATTTTTTCTGATTTTAGGATAGAGTTGGTAAAAAAAATTATATTTTCGAACACATTTTCCTCGCGTGTGGGTTATAGTTTTGGATGTATGTATATGTGGCGTTTCTGCGGTTCGCCAAGTGCTGGCTGACTCGGCGCGATTTGCTGCCTCCTCTGTAAATGCCTCGGCTGGCAGAAAAAATTAATTTACAGCGCTAAGCAAGCATGAAACCATAAAACATGTGCACTTGACACAGGCAAAACTAAATGATTAACCTGTTGCACTCTTCAAGCCACGTCGGGAAAACAATGCCATCGGGGAAAAAATTAAACAATTTTCAGGGTGCTCGACCCGGTGACATACCCCGTACTTAGAACCCATGCCTTTTATGACCCACTCGATTGCATCGCAACACCTCCCAGTTTCGGGCCCTCAATGGGTGTGCGCTAATGTATTCGGGAATTTCACATGGCTAATTGCTGTCATTCGGCAAACACTCAAGTGCGTGTGAAAATCGTGCTGCGACGCCTGTAATCTACAGAAAACATCCGCCCTTTGGATTACAATTTGCACAGACAAATAGTTATACAATTTTTGGAGATTCTATAAAATATAAAAATAAATATATATAAAATATATTTATGTATTCTAATAATTTACAATTTTAAGATCATTTATATTTAGACAAATATTTTAAAAATCCAGAAGATCTAAACATCTAAAACTACGTTTTCTTATATTTATCAAATATTTAAAGTTTGACTTCAAAACATTATCGATCCCAATCTGATTTTTGGCTGTGTAGCCACGTGGCGACATAACACCAAAAATACCTTTGCCTTCTAGTCGCAATCTTGCAAAATAAACATGCAAAACTTGCAGCTTTTGCTTGTGGCACATTAACAACATTTAAATCGCAGCAGCAGCAGATACAGATACATTTATATTTATACAGACGTCAAGACTCGCTCGCAGATGAAAGACTAATGCCCCATCGGCCTTCATTAGATTTCGAATTAGTGGCAAATTAAGTTGTTTTTACTTAAACCTTTTATTTTTAGAGGCAAAATCGTAAAAATTAACGCTTTTTTCGGTGCTTTTCCGCACCGAAACAGACGCACGCAGACGGCGCTCGGGTATTTGGGTATTTAGATACTTTTCGTATTAGTCACAACATTTGAAATTATGGCAAAGTCGTGTTCGAGTGCTGGGTAAACCCAGTTCCGAGTATCGAGTATCCAAGTTCTGATAATGCTGACAAGGCAGCTCAGCTCTTAAAGGGTACGAATTATTGGCAAAAGCGAAAATCAATTATGCATACAATACACATAATTTTAATGCGTGCGCGGCAGTATGTGGCTGTTGCTTCTGCGTTTATTTTTAATTTATTTATGGCGGAAGACTTGGGCGTAGAATCGAATCTAGCCTCTGGCCAGTGCCGGTAGAAGCGGCCTTTTGCTGTTCCGAAAGGCTGAAAGTGTGGCAGAAGGTGCTGCCTGGGGGTTTCCCAAAAAAGGGGCTACTATCATCCACGGGGGGCAGGGGCATCAACGTCAGCAGCTGCGAAGGCAGCCAGCGGAACACTCGCCTGACTTTCAATTGGCGTCACATTTTTGGTCGACTGCGATGATTATGATGATGATGATGAGCCGGCAGTCAGCTCACTTTTCCTGTCTCCAGTGTCAGTCTGTGGATGCCAAGTGCCTTGCATACGAATGGGAATGGGAATCTGGGAATGGCTAGGCTATATAGCTATTTGGATATATGGACATGGGAAGGCGATTTCGATTCCAATTCCAATTCCGATTGGGATTACGATTGCTTTAACCCTGACAGAGACCTAGTCTCAGTCGCTGTCGATCAGCGGTAGTCAGCACATATCAATCATACGCCGAGTGTGTCCAATTAGCGAATGTGACAGGTGTTTGCTCCGTTCTTCGGCCAGGCCAGGCTCTCCAAATCTTAATTACACGCCATGTGAGCCATGAAGAGTGCTGTGCTGCAATCAGAATCAGAAGAGAACAAAACTCCAGTCATCGGAGAATCATTATAGAGCAGGCTTTGCCTTCAAAGTATAAGAATCGGTTGAGTTTGTCGACAAGTTTTATTTCGATCCGATCTGCTACCTTCCCAACTGGATATCTGTTAGCATATCAGCTAATTATACAAACTAATCTATATATATATTCGAGAATCTTCTGCCGAACGAGTTCCGGTTTGAGTTGGCTAGGTCAGTGGTTAATGAAGAGAACACCCCAAGTCATTACATAAGAAACTAAACGAAACGATACAAAATGAAACGAGTTCTGGCTGCCCTGTAATTGAATACATTTGATGGGTCATTTTCAATCAAACTCCCTCCTTCCGTGTGCAATTTAAATAACAATGTGAGGCAAGAACACGAGGGCCATTGGCTAGAACATTAAGTCCGTGTGCTGCGATTTTATCTGAAAATAAACAGATGCCAAGATGAATGCCAAAGTTAGTCTAAGCTTTAGTGCCAAGGCAAGAAATTCAAATGAAGCTCTTTTCAGGTTTCCAAGCCATTGACTTGCGGTCGTGGCTTGGCCAAGAATCTAAGATCTTAAAGACATCTTCGTTTGGCTTATTGATTCGAGAGGAGATATAATACATATGTTCGTCAGTGAGCTGCAACCAGCTTAATCTTTGTCCCCCGGCCTGCTGTCGTCATTCATCATTCGATTGGGGATAACTCAATAAGCGATTTCTTCGCGCCTTTCATTAATAAATCTGTGGCGTGCCTCGCCAGAAATTCCGATGCAAATCACGCTCCTCGGCAAGCCGAGCAGAAAAACGTGCCGAGCTTCTCCAAGCGATCGCGATTTAGAATACCTTTTTTCATTCAATATTTTGGCAACGCGGCGTGCGGACGTCAGGCTCTGAATCTGAATTCTCGATTTTGGGCGAAAATTTCTAAAGCTCGTAAACCTTTTCTTCCAGTTGCCAATCGAAGAGCCAAGGCAGCCGCAATGACGACCTACATGAAGATAGTCGAGGAGCGCCTCACCGGCCTCTCCAAAGGAGTGGGTAAGTTATTGGGATAATATATATATTTTTGAAATATTTACTAAATGAGTTAACCCTCCCACAGATGAGACGGTGGACAGCTGGTTCCTGATGAGCTCCCCTGCTCCCGTGATCGCCGTGGTCCTGGTCTACCTGGCATTCGTGCTCAAGATCGGACCCGAGTACATGAAGAACCGCAAGCCCATGGACCTCAAGCGCATCATGGTCTTCTACAATGCCTTCCAGGTCTTGTACTCCATTTGGATGTGCCGCACGGTGAGTCCATAAAACAGAGCGTCATAATTATTCAGTTACTCGGTTGCTAGGCTTCCTATCCCGATTAATGTATTATTCATTTTTAATAAGCCACGCTTGTGCTTATTATTTGCATTACAATTTGTTAAATTTTTAAAATTCTAGTCTTGAATTTTTTTTTGGCAATTTGCGAGCTATAAAATTGCGGAGTAGCGTTGCTTTTTAATGAATGAACGAATGAACTGTTCCAATTGTAAATCACAAACACGTGAATGTTTAGCTGGAATTTAACTAAAAGAAATTCTTATATGGATTATTTATTTACTAATTAATTTTCCCCCACTTTTTTTACAGTCCATCCAAGAGAGCAATGTGATGTCATCGATCTTCTCGAAGAAGTGCGAGATCAACCGCACCAGGGAGCAGAACCTGACCCTCTACTCGGGCGCCTGGTTCTACTTCTTCTCGAAGATCATCGATCTGCTGGACACGACGTTCTTTGTGCTGCGCAAGAAGGACAACCAGGTGTCGTTCCTGCACGTCTACCACCACACAATCACGGTGCTCTTCTCCTGGGGCTACCTAAAGTACGCTCCCGGGGAGCAGGGCGTGATCATTGGCATCTTGAACTCCGGCGTGCACATCATCATGTACTTCTACTACATGGTGGCTGCGATGGGACCCCAGTACCAGAAGTACCTGTGGTGGAAGAAGTACATGACCAGCATCCAGCTGATCCAGTTCGTTCTGATTTTGGGATACATGCTGGCCGTGGGCGCCAAGGGATGCAACATGCCCAAGACTCTGACCTTCTTCTTCGTGGGCAACACTATCATCTTCCTGTATCTGTTCGGCAACTTCTACCGCAAGACCTACAAGAAGGCCAAGAGCCTCGATGGCGGCAGCAGCAGCAGTCGCACCACCGGCAGCAGCCTGGCCCAATCCGCCCTGAGGGCCGCCGGAGGAATGGGTTGCATGCCCCAGACAATGAACGCCGGAAAGCACAGCCTGCAGAACGCCCAGCCTGGAAAGGCCTACCTCGATCTGAACAACAACAGCGTGAAGCCGCTGAAGCTGGAATGAGAGCGATACTTGGCCAGATACCTGGTATCATTGGGTTTCAGTTATTTAGCAATTATGTCTTTTAGCGCGGGGTTTAGTTCGTAACTCTTACCTTTACCATTACCTTTTATCTGTAGTCTGTAGTCTGCGGAAGAGAAGAACTTGTATAATGTTTATATGCCGGGCAGGCGACGATTCAAACCCAAAAAGTAGATAGAACCCTAAGTGTGTGAATGCGGCCAAGTTTGACTGAGTACGTGTTAATGTTTTTCTAGCTGAGTGTGTGTGTGCTAGTGTGATAGAGCTTATTAATGAAATGCAGCCGTAAATCGTTTCTCGAAACAATAAGAATTCAATAAAACTTTGATTTTGTATATTTAATAAAAGCCAAACTCTGTGTCTCTGTTCTTTGCCGGCGCGATTCGGGTTTGGGGCTCTGGGGTTCTGACTTTCCGGGATTTTTTATTCTGCACGAGGCTTACGGGTTAGGTAACCAAACCGGATCCCATTGGATACCATTATTTATGACGACTGGTGGCCACGCGCTCCATCCACCCAGGAAAAAAATATGCAGATCTGCAAGACATCGCCGACCATATAACATGATTAATATCTGCCAATTAACTGCTGATTTTATACCTCTATTTTTTGTCAATTGTCCAAGCTCCGATTAGACAAAAAGAAATAAATTTATGCCACGTTTTGGAATAGTTTGTAAATCTTGATCCTAAACGAAACTAGCTAAGAATAATAAAAAATATGAAAAAATAAATATGAAAGAAATATTTTCTTAAAATATAAATTAATATTAAAGTTGCAATTACTTGAATAATGATAACCAAAGTAGATTTTTAAGTTATGTATATTTTTTCAAAGTGTACTTCTTAGTACGCGTGCTAAGGTGATTATGCAACTTTCTGTCCCCGACCCGTTTTCTGGCCCGGCTTAGACACCCTGGCGACGATTGGGAGAATGTCTTTGCCAAATTAGAATTTCTAATCAATTTTTTCCCTCGCCTTGACTCACACACATGCCCAGCATCACATGTAGCAGCTTTATTTATGCAGATTTCGACTAGAAAACTCTTGTTGTTTCTCCTCATCGGAGTCAAAGTTCAAGGGCCTGATGAAGAGTTTGATATGTATCTGTGGGTAGGCGTGTATTTTTAAATATGCCTCAGATTTTTGCCAAATTTACATAGGTCAAACTCTTTAAAATAAATAAATAAAAAAATTAAAATAAAACAAGGGAGATCGCTGTACTCGGGTTCGTGTCCCGGCTAAAAACACGTCTGAAAGTATACCTTAAAATTTAATTATGGAAATTTTTCTAAGGTTTCCCAGTAAAATAAGAAACCTCTCGTTCTGTTCTTGTTCATCTTGAATAAGAGCTGATAGAATCTGTATGATGATCAGGCCATAAAACTGGAATAATATTGGCATTATCTCCGGTTGGGCCAGATGAAAACCGAGTTTTAACTCGGAGGTTCGCTTTGTTTTTTCTCGTGTTTGTGGTCAAGATCAAGGTCAAGTCTCCAAACCGGCTTTATTGAATACCGTATAGGTAATACGTTTACTGTATCCGCACATCGGATGGCCGCAACCCCACTCGAAGATGCGTTTTCACTTCCGCTTCGGTTCCGTTTTGACTGATTGATCAATAAAAGGCTGTGGAATTTATCAAAATCTTATCTCGGCCGCGTCTCAAGGTGCCTGCGAAATGAGCTCTAATGAGTGGCCGCCGAGTCGTGTTCCCAGAGCCTCGTAAAAATTCATGAACTGGACATGCTGCATCACCCCACAGACCTGTTGTTCTAGCCACGCCCATTCATATTCAAATCAGCCATCATGTTACGGATGTCTTGGCTTCCGCTGCTGAATGAATGGATTCGACTCAATATATTAGTTGGTGCTTTAATTTCAGTCAGTTCCTTGAGAAAAGGTTTCCTCAATTGATTTATCTGAGGTTAACCAAGATCATGAATGGTTAGATTAGGATGGAACTGGGATGGGCAGCTCTTTGGGAGATACCCCAATGTTATCTTCAAGACAAATAAGATTAAAAATGTATGACTCTATAAATAAACATTGAGTGAACTTTACAGATCACAGGAAATTGCTATTTCTGCAATGTTTTCAAGGTCAACATTTGTTTTAATGACTCATTATAATACAAATTTAAATGGATCTTATTAATAAGTTTAATTGAACAAAAATTTATTTATAAGACGATTTTTTATAGCTTTGGGCAAAATAAATGGAATGCTTTATAAATCGAAACTGAATTAGTTAAAGAGCTTTTTTCATTATTGTTTTTAAAAATATAGTTCAAAACAATATTTTATTTTAATTTTGCAGTAAATTTCTGCAAGTAATGGTTTCTTTTGAATTTTTTTGAATCTTTTGAATTACAGATCATTTTAAATTTATTGCCATTTGACACTGGCTTAAATATCGACTACCTGACTAGTTTTGTTTTAAGAAGTCATGGCAACTTAAAGAAAAATGTTGAATTTATATATTAAGTCTTTTTTATTTATCAGGTGTCTATAACTAAATTAGTTTCCAAACTAAAATTATCCCGATGACATTTACCTTTGTGATTTCATTATCAAAAGGTCTTGGCCCCGCCTATTTCCCATTCATTAGACAAAGAATAAATCCCATTGTTTTTTTCGATATTTTTGTAGAAAAAATTCTAGATTTATTTGTAAAATGTGTTTGTATTTATGGGTTTGTTATTTGCTAGTTTTTCACTTGTTTTATGCCTACTTTACATACCACACGTATATAAAATCTAAAGAAAACACATTCGCATGCGTACCTACACTTATTTACACAACTAACGCTTCTTCTGCCTGTTTACTTAACTTAGTTCAGTTTTGGCCGAAAGACATACGACTTCTTTCATTTGGTCCGCCAGATGCGAACATCAAACGGAGCGAGCGATGATGACGATGGCTGCAAAAAGCAATTTCAACTGTTTGAACATTTACATTTACATTTACATAATATGTGTATCTGTGTCTCGAAAACCTCATTTGCTCAAATATATATTCGTCTCGTTTCTTATTTTCTTATTTTTGCGTGCTTAACGTCTTTTTGGCGGCGGATTACTTAAGAAATTAGTCAACAAGGTTGCACATAGAACATGGGTGGCTCTCAGTGGGTGTTTGTCCCGCTTTTTGTACGAGTATTGAAGGGGGATTGTGGGGGTGGTGCGGGTGGGTGAGGTTGGTTGGTGGCTTGGGTGGGTGGTGGCCTTGGCTTGGCCCTCTTCTACAAGGCCTTCTGCTTCTCCTGCTGCAGCTCAATGGCCTTGTTGAGGTCCTTGGCACATCCATCATTGTTGTTGTCCGCCGTCAGAGCCTTTGCCTTGGCGGCCGCCTGCTTCTTCTTGTAGGACTTCTGGTAGAAGTCGTTGAACAGGAAGTAGAAGAACACGGCGTTGGGCAGGGTGAAGCACACCGACCACCTGGGATAGCCGCAATCGGTGTACAGCAGCTGGGTCTGGTGGATGAAGGCGCAGCAGAACTGGATCTGCAATGGGAGAATTGTAATATTACGGGATTAGTGGTATTCGATAATTTACTACAGAAAACGTAATTTTTTCTTCCTATCCCCATGACATTTTAGTAGTTATAGAATATAATATATAATTCCCTTTACAATAAATTCTTAATTGGGTAAATGTTCTATGATTCTACTTTAAAAACGTAAATATATTTCCCTTCTTAACCCACTAAATATTATGAATCGTCCTAATTATTCTATACAAATTATTTATGCCAACATTTTAATTTGCTACCAATTTTTAAGAAACTCTTTGCATTTACTAATTGTCAAATTATTAATTGTTTTAATTCCCTTAAAGTCCTATAGATTTGAGCATCTTTATTCGTATTACTTATTGTCTTATCTTATTTATCTTGTTTTTCTAAACCTGAGTCATTAAAAAAACCCCTTTTAACAACAATTACTACTCACCATCTGCAGGTTGGTGATGTACTTCTTCCACCACAGGTACTTCTGCATCTGGGGTCCGAAGGCGGAGAGGAAGTAGTAGGAGTACATGATGATGTGCACGAAGGAGTTGATCCAGCCGATGAAGGTGCCGTGTCCGCCGGGATAGTACTTGCTGGTGCCCCAGCTGATCATGGGCATGACGGTGTGGTGGTAGACGTGCAGGAAGGTCACCTGGCGGTCGTTCTTGCGCAGCACAAAGAAGATGGTGTCCAGCAGCTCGGTGATCTTGGCCAGGTAGTAGACATAGACGACGCGTGCCTCGCGATAGGCCTTGGGGGTGCGGGACCAGTCCACCGGCTGGCACCGCCAGCTGTAGTACTGCCAGATGACCACGCCCTCGTAGACCATCCACACACTGAGGGCCACCTGGAAGAAGTTGTAGACGAGCAGGGTTCGTTCCAGCTTGAAGGGCTTGCGATCCTTCATGAACTTGGGTCCCCACGACAGCACGAAGAAGAGGTAGAAGGCCAGGATGCCCAGCAGGGGCAGCGGCGACTTGATCAGGAACCAGTCATTGGTGCGGGGATCTACAGGGAATGATCAATCGGTTATGGAATATAATATTATAGATAAAAAAAACCCCACTCACCTGCCAGATCCGTGAACAGAAAGTTCCAATAGTCCACCTGCGTTGCGTTGACGGCTGCCATTTTTAAATTCTTCGTTGGCCTCTCTTGCTTCCACAAATACGATTATATAGCTTCGATCGCTTCGATGTGAAATTCAAAAATCTGCTAAGCCTGCGTCGCAACGAACGAGTTTTGCGAAATCTAAATGGGGGAAGATCGGAAGGGAGTCTGGATGAGCGAAAGATCTTTATTTTCGAGTTTTGTATTTGTATTTAAGTTATGTTAATGCCATTCTCGAGCAACTGATGCCAGTGGCACGAGCAACCAGCAACTACTACCAGCAGCCTCAGCTGTTGCCGAGCCCAGAAATATAAATAAAATTAAAATAATAATCAAACGCGAAGGAGAATAGCAACTGTGACGGTGACGGTGAAATGCCGTGAAATTATCATGTAACAGTAACAGTAAATTATATTCATTATTATGAATTAAACAACCGCAGCGCACAACAGCCCGCAACAAATTGGTGGCCACCTCGCAGTCGTATGGCCCATGTCTGGGCCATTGCCACACGGCCCGGGTAAATTGGGCACTGCCAGCTGAATCACGTGTGGAACGCATAAAACCCACTCTCAAAACAAACCAGGTAAAGCCGTGGAAATTATTTTAGTGTTGTGCAGTTGGCAAGCAAATCCGCACCTCTCAGCGCAACAGAAGCAGTTTTCAGAAGTGGGATGGCATCGCAGCGAGACTGAGTGAAGTGCTCCTTCACTCCTCCGGTGATTAATCATCCCAAAG